AACGAACCGCGATAGAAACTGGAGGCTGCATCCCTGAAATTCGATTCGATGATGCTCGAAATTCTCAACTATCTGGTAGCAGCCGGTACAGACTACGGAATTTGCGGCGACAAGCGAGAGATGTTTCAGGACTCTGGTTAAATGCAAACAATCTGCATATCGATCTGTCTCTCGCTTGTGGCCGACAAATAAACCGCGATCGCGTATTTTTCGTTTTTAAAGTTACGAGCCTCTCTTTCCTCAATTTTCTACAAATGTTTGCCGATTCACATTTATTTCAGCGTTCAGCGCATTCTATTAAATCCTAATTGATAAATGTCATAGAGTAAAAAATGATTAGCTGCAATTGTTCGCTCATTTATTTCTTCTTGAATGTCTGTTCGAATATAAATATTCGCAAAACCGATGAAAATTCTGCATCGTATAAATGAACGTCAACATGAAATAATTTTAATATATCATATAATATATAATAAGATAAAATGCAACATAGTTAGCCATATACAATACGCTACATTTATATGCATCGAATATTTATGAAATCATAAAGAGATTTGTGAAATCATTTAAAATAGCTTTGATATTTTTATTATATTTTTGTCTCGAATAAATTAAAAATTATTTTCGACCTATGTGAATTTATTCTAGAATCGTGGAATTATCTGTTAACAATTATCGATAAGTCAATTAATCGATCAATATCGAGGAATCTTTCGTGAAGTATTCTGCATTGATTAATCGACGCGATCGAGATAACAAATTCATCAACATTTCTCGTTGTCACTTAAAAATAACGCAGTCTCACTGCTCGCTTCACTTCTCGTCATTTTTTTGCATCCTTCTGCCTCTCACTCTCTCTCTCTCTCTCTCTCTCTCTCTCTTTCTCTCTCTCTCTCTCTCTCTCGCCACGATTGACTAAAACGTATATTGCAATATGAAGTTGGCAGTTTTCGTTACAATGCAGTTTGAACTGTCGTGGTCTTGTCAAAGTATGCACATCGGCGCGGCGCGGATTCTGTCATGTTGTATATCGTCCAGAAGAGTTTTTCGTTCGCGGCAACGACGATTGTACGACGTGAGCACGTTCTATTGATAATTTTTCGCATCTACAATCATTTGGTCATGAAATGAAATAATGCAATCTGAGATAAGATTTTTGTTTATATGAATAGTTTACATGAGAAACCTCCTCAGATGTTTCTACGCGCGCATCAATACTTATAATATTAGATATATATTATTATCTACAAACAATTATTTCTCTGCTGTCAAAACTCAAAGTTACTTGTGACTTATATACATCAGTTGAAAATTTGACAACCATGTTTTGAGCAATTTTTACGTTTACATCCGCGGATGAATAATGATTGCGAATGTCTAATACATAGATGTACGAACAAAAAATTTTATCACACGTAGAATTCGTTCACGTAGAATTGTTCTTATCTATGCATAATGATAATCATGAAAATTTATATACGAGTCTACAGATTAACTCTTCTAGTCGTCTTTATCGATCGCGAAAAATATTTTTGCGAATTCGCCATTTTATATAGATGATCGCCAAGTAATTAATTTGGAATTGTCGATTATCATGATTTATATATACGCTGCGAACGGACGTATGGACGAACGAACGAGCGAACGAACGAATGAATGAATGAACGTACGCGCATTTCTGGAGTTTGTTTCGACCCCCTCCCTCCTTCCTCCCCTTGCCCCCGACGTTCTTCCAGTCTACTTTGGTTTTTTTTCTTTTTTTTTCCTATACTTTAAAAGTGATTTACCTAAATATGTGCGAACAGTCACATTTCGTGTGCACTACATTTGCATATATATATATATAATATGTATATGTGTATATGTATAATATATATATATATAATATGTATATATGTATATATATGCGTATATATATATACATATTACTTCGCAGTAGGTACTCTCTTTGTTTAACGAATACAATGCTCTGTATAAAACTCGTATTTACAAGGTGATCGATTTATATAATATTAATAGTTCTGTTTTTCTCCCTTTTATCCTCTCCATTTCATTAAATTTCAAGATGTGTCGATAGTGCTCTTTATATAACGACTTCATCTATTTGGTAACGTTATATGCGATATATAAGTACCCGCCGAGTAACGCAAGTATTCAACCTAGCAGAGAATAGAGATCATCATTTAATCTTCTCTTAAACGGTCATATATAATGTTAACGGTAATAAAAATAATAACGAAGGTAATACTAATTTCAATGAGGCTAATTATAATAATGGTCGGCCGTGGCGTGTCTCCAGGGAATTGGCGCGTCTTGTACGATGTGCGTATGTCGATTTGCATTTAACGCACGTAATTTTTTAAATATTCGACACGAGGGATCGCATTTGAGCGATTAAAATTATCGCAAATAAATGGAATTGCACATACTCCTACTATCAAGTTTTCCATTATCTAATCTTTCAAAGCATTAGATTGTTTTCTCAAGCAAGAATGTTAAAATAAAGCAAATATATATTCAGAAATTTAATTAAGCGTTATGTTAATTATTATTGCTTATTAGTACTTTACAGATAATAACAAGACATTCTCTATAGTATCAATAATAAATGAATTAATTAAGTGAGAATGAAGAATAAAATTTTTATAGAATTGTAACCAATTTGCACCATTGTTCTTAAATAGTTAATTTCTGCGAGATTAATTATTGTGAATTATTGTGAATTATCCATCGTTGATGACATTACATTAACGATTAATAAATTGATTTAACATTGCGTATCCGAAAGGAAATTTTTATTCATTCATTACTGATTACGCGATCTCGAAACTCCATTTATACGTTATATCGCGAGATACATACGTTTATTTTTGTTACGTTAATTATTTTATTCGTGCAGATAATTAATTATTATAATATTTAATTAGTTTATTTTACTTTATACTTAATTACATGCCTATACCTAGGGAAGAATTTTTCATTATTTTTTATCATCGACGCGTCAATTCCCGTTCGCTTGCCCGGCTTAAGGATTCGGTGTAAACAATAGGCACGCATATACGTATGCCATAATACATGCGCGATTAAATGCATATAGCTATCATAGAATATATCACAACGATAAAACGAGTTAGATCCTCTCTTTCTCCTTCTTCTTTCGTTATTATAGAGACTCCGAGTAGATAACGGATGTACAGAGTTATATAAATTGCACACAATGCTTCCGGTTGGGGCGGACGTGGAAGTGTATCGATACTTACATATTATGTACGAGCGCAGCCGAAGAAAGAAACGAACGAGGGCCAGGCACGCGATTTGCGCATGATAATTCGCACCGTTGTTATTTGCATTCTCGCGTGACCGAGAGAACCGATCAAGAATCGAATGCTCGAGTGTTTGGAAAATGCGAGAAATAAATCGCTGCGAAACGATCGATTATGTCCGCGGAATAAGAATTACCGCGGAAACGGTTGATTGTATCCGTGGTGAAGAATCATCACGGCTGTGCTTCGTGAATACGCAGGGCGTAAGTGTGAGTGTCGGAGTGTTGTGTAATCGCATCGATATCCGAAGGAATACGAAAAGCCAAAGCGTATTGAAGAGAATTCTATAATAGAATTCGATACTATATTCATTCGCGGATCAGAAACGCGATCAAAATATGACGGTTTTATTTAATCTCTCTTTTAATTAATAATCTTTAAATACGTTTCGGGAATATAAAAATGATATAAATACTTGAACATTTTAGAAGTTTCTTCCTATCCACGCGAATTTAGCGTTAACCATTTTAGAATTGGATTTATCAATGCCAATTCAAACAAAACAATCATCTAAAAATATTCAAAAACATCTCGATATTAACATATCTAAGAGATTTTTTTTAATTTGTTATGCTGTCGAGTATTTTATAAAATACTATTTTTAATATTTCATTATTATTTAGAAAAAAACGCGTATTTTGAATCGCGCATATATTAATTATAAATTAAAATTTAAAAAAAATCTGTTGATGCGAATATACTTGGGTATCTTTAGTTTTAACGATTAAACTATTTAACGAAATACTTTTTGTATTCTATATTTGTTTTAAACTTTTTTTGCATACTTCAAGTGTTGCTTTCTAAACAAAAGAAACATTGTTAATTGAATTTAAGCGTATCTATAAACGAATGCTACGTATATCACATAGTCGTCGATTCCCGATACTCGTAACGTCCAATGGAGTCGATAAAGGTAACTGACGTTATCTAATAAAAATCACATGATTTCGCGTTTTCACATTGGCAGAACGTGACGCTCGAATACGACTATCCCTCTTTCGTTTCTCTCAAATATCCGAGGATAGCGATCCAAGGCAGAATCCCCGACTAAGGATTTTTGTTTTCATAAAGAATTTTTGCGAAGTACTAAGGCAAGGATCTCCTTATTAAATGAGCGACTGACAAGCGCGTTTGGTATAACTGGACAATTTGGCGATTGCGAAGTAGAATGGAGGACAAGAATAGAGAGAGGGAGAGTAAGAACGATAACGTAGAAGGGACGAGAAAGAGTCGGGGGGTGGGTTGGGCGTGTCAGCTGGTCGATATCCTGAATGGTAAGCTTCCATGGCCCAGCTTGCAGTCAGCCGCTAGGTCCGAAGGACGAGAGAGAAACCAACAAAAAGAGAGGGTGCATGTACATATACGTGTATATGGAATGTACCACAAGTTTTTTTTCCGCGCGCTTTTCCTAAATCACAAATATTGAAGGTTTAGCTAAAAGAAAATATCGAACAATTGTTGTTTATATTACAGATGTTTGAACTTAACGAATTAAATTTTTAAAAAGTGAGGATTAAACTTGTATAAATATAATGATAAAATAATATAATAATAAAATTTTAATATGAATTAATTTTAATAAAATAGTAAAATTTAATATTTAATTAATTTTTAATCAAGATCAATAAAGTTTTAATTAAAAATTTAATTATCAAAATATATATATAATTTTCTCATTTAAATTAAAAAAATGGCATCCACTCTAGCCATTGTCATTAAGAAAAAATTGATTAAATTTAAACGAAAATACTAGATTATCAGGATAATCTGTATATCAGGTAAAAGAGAAAAGCTTTAAGAGTATATGTTTTTGGAAGCTTCTTGCAAGTGACCCATGAACTATAAATAAGTGGGATTTCAGAAAGCGCGAGCATGGAAGAAAAAAAGTAAAATATCATGCAATCAATATTAATTAAAATTAATAAGAATATTTGCTTGCATAATAAAATACTTTTGGACAAGAAGATCGTTATACGCTCGGAGTTAAAAGCAATTTATGTAGATAAAAGCGAAATTGTGTCTCGCGGTTTTCGTTTTCTGTGAATGTCATAGAGGAAAAGTTGACAGAATTAGTTGCGATTTAAATCGATAGAATTCAATGACTATGTTTTACTATCGTAAGCGATAAAGACACATAATTCAAATATAAAACTCGATAGAAATATTTGAAGAATTCTAAAGTAACACACACAAGATAATCGCGATTATACAAAATTTATTCTCATTATTTCCTTGTCTTTCAATCTAATCAAATGAGACGTCCATTAATTTTAATTGATTATAAATAACGTGTATATATATTCGCGTTAATTTTATATATATGTTTATTATTTCTTTGCAGAAATTCTTTTCAGGTAAAAGTAGATTTCGTGCAACGAGAGTCGAGAGAGAGAGAGTTGTATTCTGCCTTGGTTCGCTAACTGTCTTGATTTTCTCGACTCGATTGGAATGTTTTTACGTCCGATCTATAATCGTCATACCTATGTAAACAGTCGCGACTACGTAGTACGAGCTAAGAGTACTCCCGATTGAGCCGCGTGCACACGCACGTACACGCGTACATGGAAAGACGGCCCTGAGGACGAGTGACGAGAGTTACGCGATTTCACGTAGCGACGACGCGCGCAAGTCGTACATGCGGAGAAAAATACAAAAAGTCGCGCCGTTAAAAATCGTAAAAAAGTTCTACGAAATGAAAGGAGAGACTTGGCTTTAACTTGGCCATAATCCAAATAAATACGGATGCTGAGAAGAAGCCGCCATCGCAAAATCGAAGCCGCTTTCGTCGCGGGCGTCCCATTCGTCGCTCAGTTCTCTCGTTTTACCTCTCTGTCTTGTTTTTTATTTTATTTCTTTTTTGCTAGATCTCGCTTATCGATCGTCTGCACGCGTCCTGCGTACGCACGTGTGCACGCATGTATCTAATATGCATGCACGCGCGTATCTAACGCGGCCGCGTACGCGCGCATATATATATGTCAATATACATATACTTATACTGTACTTACTTAAGTAATAAGTCGCACCAGTCTCCAATAGTACATCGTTTATCTTCATTCGGAATATGAACTTTTCTGTCCGTCGTTTCTTCGTTCTGCGCGCGCTTTCACGCACACATTTACGCTCGTGTTCATTCTTTCCTGTTTTCTCTCTCTCTCTCTCTCTCTTTCGTTCGTGCTCTCTCTCTCTCTCTCTCTCTCTCTCTCTCGCTCGCTCGCATGCACGCACACACATGCCATCGCGCGATTTCCGCTACGTTTCCTCCGTCCGCGTACGAGCGCTGCTGACAGAGCGACGATTCATCCTCGACCTCGACGAACGTCGATAATCCTATATTTTTCCGTCCCCTCGAGCCGCTCTCGATTGAACTGTCGCTTCAAACCGACGAGTCTCGGTGTTGTCCTTAGCGTTAGTTAACGTTACTATGTAATGGTGGCTAAATTGACAAGTGTTTATATCGAAGGTATTTTCTCCGTTTAAGAACTAGGAATACCTAGAGATACCTGGCAATGTTTTATGGTATGTATGCTCGTAGATTCGCCTTCGAAATTTGAGCTTCTGCTTGCCCGTTTCGCTTGCGCCGCGACATATATCCCTACATATCGCGCGATACGTCTATATATATGTATATATGTATATCGAGTCTTTAACGAAGACACCTCGTGGAGAGCGACGTTAGCCGAGGCTTACGCGAGCTCGATCGTTGATTGACGAACGAGAGCATCTGCCCGGAGAAAGCGCGGTAGCCACGATGTCGCGCGATAGTTGGAACGCGCGTTTGGCAAGGCCACGTCTCTTTCGAAAGGACGCGGCGGACCCTACGAAAGCGTTCGCTTTTATACTTTCCAGTGATCGCGAGCAAGTGGTCTTACTCCGAATCTAACGCGACCGCGTGACTGCCTGTATTCGTCCGCTATTCCTCCGTGAAGAAGTAGTTGCAGCGCTCTCGAGATGGACACAAGCGCTCTCCTGCCGTTTCGCTTGTCGTTCGCTCTTACTCCTCTCGCCTCCGAGTCGCGCCTCGATTCATCTTCCTCGAATCGTTTTCGCTTTTCCCTCGCGAACCGGCTCTCGTCTCGTTCTTTTACGTGTAAAATGTTCGATTCCGCCCCTGCACTTTTCGTCTCCTCTCTTCTCCTCTCTTGATTCGAAGCGCCGCGACGTCGTCGTTTACTTGGCCTCCTCGAGCAGCACGAGATCGTCCGCAACTACGTCGCTGATGTGGAGATAAATGATCCAGTACATCAGATTGAAGCAGACGAAGCATACTGGGAACACGATGCGGGAATACTTGTCGATGTCCGACGGCGTGATGCCTGTTTAAGGAACGTCAAAACGATCTTAGAACGATCATGGCGCGCAGAATCGTGGGGAAAACAATTGCATATTTCAGTGAGCTTCCGATTTCGCGCGGTGCCGTTTCTCTCGAGAGAGTACAAGAAATAAGCATCTAAATATAAGTGCATCGTAATGTTTGAAAATAAATCGTATATATATATATAAATTTCTCAATGCAAGAAGCTTTTCATAGCATCGGTGACAAGCGATTTCGGACGGTGATTGAAGCGTAGAAAGATATATATTTGTACAACGGTCGCAGGCGCGTGGCATCATCGACTACGTGAATAATTGCGTAATCTTGGCAAAGTTCAAAATACTCGACATCCATATTGACAAGGCCTTATCGGACCCGGCGATGATGCCACGCCAGAGGCATTTACAAGCTCGCTGACGGTTAAGCCGTACAGTGACGTTTATTATATGCCCCCGTTTACAGAAGCTCGTTGAAATAGACAGCCTGCCAAGCTAAGAACCGAATATTCTGTTTGATAGCTTGCCAGGCGAAGGGTTAAATAGTGTGATAAAATGTGCGTACATGGTCTACTCATACCGTAGAGCTTGGTGATGTCCTTGCCAGGATGAATAATATGTTGCGGTGCGCCCGCCGTTTCCTCATCGGCGCGACCGTTTATGGTGTTTTCAAGTGTCCCACCTTTGCTGTGTGCCTTTGGGTCGTGCACCTTGAACCGCACCTCCTGGACAACATGGGACCACTTACAAGAGACACGGCAGTTCGCCGTGGGGTGCTCCTCACCCGAGGTTTACCCCCCCCCTTACTTTGTCGGATTGGCATGCGACACCGAGGGCCGGGCATTGTGTATTTTTATCGTTCAATAGCGGTGATGTCTGATTTTACGTGGTTATCGGGGCGATCGGTATTCGAGAGACTCACCTGCCTTTAGATCGCTGTTGCGCGACCCGTATCTGTTAGTTTATTCGGCTAAACTCGGAGTGTAAAATAAGGGAAAGTCTCTCGTAAAAAGACCGCGGTTTATAGAAACGCGCGGTGCGACTGCTCGTGCTCAAGCAAAAGAGATTTGTGAAGGTTTCATTAAAAGCTTGTGTAGATGGTGCTACTTATATAAATACTATTGGAATGAGATGCAGAATGGGAAATAGATCTCCATTTGACGCGAAAATTATTAACGCGCGAGATTATTATTAGAACTTAATATTTTCGTTCCTTTCAGTTAATATTATTGACTGCATACGTAGACGTTCTACATGTTGTAGGATGATGTAAAATTGTGGGATAATTTCAACAGTTTTTTATTACTTTTATTATGAAAGGGAGATGCGTTTCTCTGAAAAAATAAAATTAATGAAATTATCAAAAATATTAAATCTATTAATATTTTCCCAATATTTCCAAGGGGATAACTATTAGCTGTAAAAGTTTTGAAAGAAATATGTAATTATTAAGAATATTATATATATATATAACTTATATATACAGTTGCATTATTGTTGAAAATTTATCATCATGAATAATCATGAATAATTAACTGTCTAGTAATAATTAATATCTTATTTTGCCGATGCTTTATGAGGATTCTTTGTCGCCCATTTTGTTCGCCCCTGTCTATTTATTTCTCTCGTCTTCCCTCTCTGTCGTCTCCCTCACAATGTACTCTTTCTCTTTCTCTTTCTTTCGGTCTTTTAATATTTTTTTATTTTTCCAGTCTACACAATACCCAAGATTAAAAGAAAATTTATAGTGCGTCGTATCCGTGGTACGAAACACGCTGTCCGGCGTGTTGCGCGGCCGAATGGGAATTCATCTCGCAGAACCTTTTAGCTTTTGACCTTTCACGAGTCGAGCCTGCTGTGTTTTTTGGGGGGAAAGAGTGCATATTTAAATCGCGCGATGAGTATGTGCTGAACCGGAAGGGAGGATAATGCTCGGCTCCGTCCTGTTGAGCCTGCCCTTGTGACGAGGATAAGAACTCGAGTAACTCTAATGTCCGTTTCCTGTCAATGATTATTAAAGATATTGAATTTTCATGACAACTGCCATAATTCAATACCACGCGCTACCTTGTTTATATATGCGTGTGTGTGCTTAAAATTGATTTCGAGCGATGGTACTTTCTTCGTTGTGCTGATGTAGACGAAATAAACATATCGATGTTATTTATCTAATATTAGTACCATACTACTGAATGAAATATATATTATGATTATGTTATGATAAATATAATTGTGCCACGATCGACGTCTGGATGCGTCGACAGAGCCGATCGCCTATGCGCTGAAAGAAAGCGTGTTAACTCGTCCAGAGGAGCATTAGTACATCCGGATCTCCTGGTAAAATTTCGCGGTGACGAAACGACATTCCGCATGGAAGAAAAGAAATTCGGGCACGACGGCGCTTTGGCCGACGTTACTCACAGTTTGCTTAGGCGCGTGATCGCCGTGATCGCCGGGCACGCGCGGCGGTCCTGGATTCTCACTCGCGGCCTTCATGCTCTCGGCTATCTTTTGAAAGCGATTCTTCCGCATCTGAATCCTCTTGGCCATGTAGCCCACCGTGGCGTATTCTGCGAAGAAGAAGAATCCACGGGAATGAAAACACGTAACCATTCAATGCCACGACACGTCTGCCACTGTAAGACCCGGGCGGGAAGCCCGGTTTTCACGGGCCCCACTTCCATCCGTCGAGAATCTCACTCATGCTTGCGCTCCCGGTACTTGTGTAGAGCTCACGTGCAGATGAAAGAAAGCCATTTCCCTAGAAACCCTGCCATGCAGAGCACCGCGATGGCGAAGTACCTTGGTGTCGTACGTAATGGGGTACTCGCGATCGCAGTTATGAAAACGCAACAATGTGTGTATGTAATGTGTATGTGTACAAGGCGCGCAACAATGTGTGTTAGCTGGTCGATTGGATAAAACCGCGGGACTTTTACCGCATTGACTTTTCATGCTTTTGCGAACGCATTGCGAAAAACGATTTTCGAGGCGCCGTGCTATCGCGCTAACGATAGTCGAAACAACGGGCTCTCTCTCATCGTCAAGATAACGATTTCGAGGAAAATGGGTCCCTTGCATTTGTCACGTGAGCCCTGCACAAGTATCCGTCTACGATACTCTACGAGCTCGCTACTGGAACGGCACGGCTCCGAGCTATACGGAGTATATGAGAGGACGCAGGATGGAAAGCTTAATGGCAGCGACGTAAAGGCACGGAAGAGTACACGATCGCACTCACCGAGCAACGAGGCAAAGACCATGACGAAGCAGGTGCCCAGATAGACGTCGATGGACTTGACGTAGGAGATCTTTGGTAGCGCCGCGTTCGTCGAGGACATTAGGGTCGTCATAGTGAGCACAGTGGTTACTCCGAGGGCCACCCGAGCGGGGGTCGCGTTTCGGTTTAGCCAAAAGCTCACCCACGATATTATGACAATCAGCCCCGAGGGTATGTAGATCTGGATCAGGTAGTAGCCCATCGACCGTACGAACTGGATCTCGCAGGCCAGCCGCGAGTAATTCCCTACGATTAAAAGATCGAAGGTCAGGACAGGGAGACGGAGAGGCGCTATTTAATGTCTCTTTATCTCCCGTGCTCACTGTCCTTCCTCCTCACTATTCGTTTATCTCTCTCTCTCTTTCTCGCCTTCTCGTCCCTTGCATCTCTCTCTTTCTCTCTTTCTCTCTCCTTCTTCCATCTCTCGTACTTTCCTCGACTTTCCTCTCTTCGATCTCTCTTCGTTCCGTTGCCGGCCTCTGCCAGGAAAAACAGTTTTATCGCTCGCGAGTAGTTCTCTCCGTTTCTTGCGTCGGCCGGAAGTATGGCGCGCCAGAGCTGGCTGGATGTTAAGTGAAATTCTCGTCGTTGATGCGCGGCTCTTTGTGCTGCGTACAAATGCCTGCCAATGTAGAGGTGTACGTACATACACGTTGCCGTATCAAGTGCTGGCGGCGTGTATCGTGCGCCGTTCGAAAGATTCGAGATGCGATTGCGAAAGGGAAAAGATGAAGAATCGATAACGACGAAGATGGAAAATTGAGTTGTTTCGCAATTCCTATCCTATAACGGCTCCTTTCCGTTTTAGCGAATTGGCGGCGATTCATTTCTTGCGCGCCACTATCGGAAAACATGGAACGAGGAGAAAGAAAGACGTGACATCTGCCTTCCGTGCCGTTGGCCATGATTGCGCATCGTCTAATCGCCGCCTACGGCGTGCTCGGTGGGTGGTACGAAGCATCCAAGGATGGAAGATCGAGGCAAAGTTTTGCGACTACGTAAGAGCGTTTTCGACTAGAATGCACGTCGCATCATTGAATATCGCAATTACTTGCGCCACGAGAGAAGATTACGCAGAGATTGACGATAATACGTATATGCGAAGACAATTGCGTTTATCCAGAATTTCAACCGAGCGAGGGAATGCGGAACGATGATTTCTGGATGAGAAGAAGTCTTTGCGGCTGAACCGCGACTGAGATTTTCGAATTTGAGCCGGCGCGGCGAACCAAAATGCCAGCCAGCTCCGCTATTCGACGAGATTATTGCGACGCGTGAGATCGCGAGAAAGAGAGAGATCGATCGATCGATCGACGGCTTTATGTAAGTAAGGTACACAGGATTACGACGGTTTTTCTTACGAGCGGCAATTGCGCCTGCGGACATCGGATAGCGCTCACGTGTCTCTCCACCTTACCCATGCCGTTAAAAGCGAGGGTTGAACAATTATTTGTTGGTGGTGGGGGGTGGGGTTGTGTTCATACGTTACCGGTGGTAAGACTAATCTCCATGGCACGTTGACGATGACCAAGGACCTTGAATTGAGGCAGGGAGACCTCGTTGCTGACCCCGACGCTGTTCGGGCCCTCGTTCCACTTGTAGCGGATGTCCCTCATCGTGTATCCGACTGAAAAAATAGAGAGACCCCCCGCGGTTGGTACGTACCTTCGCGGAAGCCCTCAAACGCATTTCAGCTCCGAGGGGGCCTCCACTTACCTCGCACCCCCATCAAACCTCACGAGTCCGCTCTCTTTCACTTTCTCCCTTTTCTCCCTGTTCACAATTTTTGTTCCTTTTCTCTTTCTTTCTATCTATCTGTCCCTCTCAGTTTATCTTACTCTCTGTCCTCCTTCGTAAGAAGTGCTCTCACGATGAGAGCTATCGAGAGCCCAGATTAAACTAACTTTTAAAGGAGCGTGTAAACGGAATATCTGACGTGTAATGGGAAATTGTGGACGATCCTCCCGATCGTTAAACGATCGGGAAACGAAAGGCGCGTATTATCCGTATTTGTGAGTCCGTCGTGTCGATTATTGTTTTGATGTTGTAAATGGTGAATGTTAGGCCAAAAAGAGATGGACGTAATACTATCTCATTAGCGACTTTTATAAACTATAATATCTATTATAAGAATATATGGAAATTTATTTTATTTAATCCGCGCATGGAAGGAGATCTAAGTTTGAAGCTTTCGGATCGTTTACTTTTTTACAGATTCGTACATGTAATAAAAGTAAAAATAGTACAATGTCCATCTACATGCGTGAAGAGGAGATCACGTCTGGGGCACGATGGATACGCGTAATTCACCTAGTCTTTGGTAGTGTAGGGAAAAACCGATGAGTCGATCAGTCGATCGGTCGACATGAATGACCGTAAAACTACAATAGTCCATTGAGACTATAAGCTTGTTCTTATATAATTAGCCGTTTTCGCGAAAGGATGCCAGCGATCGGTGCACATCGGTGCGGGTAAAAATAGGACACATTATATATATGTATCGCATATATATATATATATATATATATATATATATATATAATATGCATCGTGGAAATTTTGCGTAAATCTCGCATAAATATGGTGTATATATTTATACAAGTTCCTAGGATAAGAAGCTCGTTATCTCGCATATTATTATCCGCGAAGATTATTTATGATAATTATGATAATTGTGTGATCGAGGGCACATTCTCTGATATATATACATACATATATTATATTGACGCGAACTTGTGGACCAAGGAAGAACGAATAAGAGGGGAATATCTACCTGTAGATAGGTGTATGGTTGTCTGTCGTTGCCTGTGACCGAGCACGCGAAACTGCGGTAGTTCCACTTCGTTCGAGATGCCGACCGACTGTAGGCCGGCGTTCCATTTGTACCGAATATCGCGCATTGTGTATCCAACTGCAGGGAGAACAAGAACACAAATATCTTCGCTCTAACATACAGTAATTAGACACTGAGGTAGTGTTCGGTTCGGGACAGGAGGGCGGGTACCTCGGGGAGTAACAGTAATTAGAAGCAAAGTTATCACGAGCAACCTAAAGCGGTTCCCGTTGTTGCGTCACGATCCAATTCTATCGAGAAATGGCATAAATTTCTCACCGCGCGGAATCGATTTAAGATGCCGCTGTATCATAGACGTCATCAAATTAGGCATTGTAATTTCAATTTAAAAAAACATACTTCCTTGTACGTTTTTCCGCGGTATAAAAAGAGCACTCTGAAATTTTCTCGCAAAGTATGCAGTATCATAAGCATTAAAAAGAAAAGCAGTCGTAAATGCTGAGTTTTAGTTTCGTATAGAAAAATTTTATGTCACAAAGCTGCGTAAGGGTTTACGGCAGAAATAGAGCAACGTCATTCCGCGAGGAACTGATACTTTATCTTTAAATCTCTACATAAAAAAATATTCAAGTGCAATTATCTTTATATTAAGATTTATATTTGATATTTTCTATTCGCGAATGCCTTCTTCGACGTGTCTATGATGTCTTCGAAACCGAGCTTGTGCGCTTACGACGGCCGAGAACACGCGAAAATTGATAGTGATCGATGCCTTATTCCGCATCAGAAAGTGAAAATTCAATCTACCAATTCATGGCTCCTCTTTTTGCACCTTTCAACGAATAATCTTCGATCGATTACTCTTTGATTTATCGACATGACTCGCGCTTAGAGATAACTTCGCCGTCTAATTCCCTTCGCGTGGCCTCCAGCGCGTACATACCGCACCGAGAAACATTCCTCCGTAACTGAATCTTAGGTGATTACGATCATTACACCGCATTCCAGACACCAAAGTGGCATTCCGTCGCGGTGGCGGCCACATTGCGCGAGCATCGGCCAAACGTGGATTAAGCGGTACGCCTCCGAATATGCCAGATTAATTGCTTTTGTTTTTGGAATCCGATTTTGGATGCCGCCGCGTTTTATCCCGGTTCGATTATACGTCACGACACAGCTGTACGCGACCTCGCGCAAAACCACGAATTCGGTAATGACATTACGATTCGCGACGGGCTGCTCCGGCACTGCCGGTGAACGGTTGAAATAGCAGGTTTTACTCACTCGCGACACTCGCGCGAAAAATTTACGCTTATCATACTAATGAGAGGATAGTAATGCTTGACGTTTCGTATTATCTGAGATATATTCTGCGTATTTCGGAACGTGTTTCCCCCTCTCCCCTTTTTTTTAATTGTATGTTTCCGACTGCTACGCTCATTATATTTGCAAATGAGCCTGCGCTTAAACAAAAATTATGGAACAGGAATATCACGCCCACCAGCAGTAATGAGCCCGCCTCGAAGAAAAGATTAGCAAAAATATTAACCGCGCCCGTTTGTCGGTTCGTTATTTCTGCCGATGATCGTCGCATAATTAAGTGCAACGTAGATATAAATTGGTACTCTTATAAAGTTTTAATAAAGAAATTCTGGATTGGGGGCAACATTAAGCATTACGAGAGGTAAGAGGGTCGGAACAGAACGGAAGAAGGAGGCGGGCTGTAGCAGTGGCTGCTTGAATACTGCAGGAAGGGAGGACTGCGGCAACATTAGCAAAATACCGAGGACTATGGTACTGGCAGAGCAAGTTTAGGTTTAAGAAGACGAAAAGTGGAAAGTGTATAAGTAGATATGGAGAAGCAAAGAGAGAGAGAGAGAGAGAGAGAGAGAGAGAGAGAGAGAGAGAGAGAGAGAGAGACAAAGAAAAAGAAAGAGTTTCGTGCATGGCATGCTACGGTGACACACACAGGCTCGAGGGATTAGGTAGATTTACATATATGTGCTACATGCTTTACGCTGCGCATTTCATCTCCTCTATTGCATGCTCTGTGCTCCATGCTCCATTCTCTGTGAGAAACGCGAATTTCCATGCGGGCTTAACAGTCTCCTTCCGTGAAAATTCAAATATTATCCTACGTCAAACGTATGATATTATCGCGGTCTTCTCGAGAATCAGGATTGAATTAATTGAACTCATTGAATGTACATGTCGCGTTCTTATGATTCTTTTATTTTTGTGTTGTGTATGCAGACACATATTTATGTAAAAACAGATTTGTTTTAAAAAAATGCGACTTTTTTTCGTTAAACGATCAACATTGACGCAAAAGATTTAGATTTCAGACTATTATTATGAAAAATTGGAATTTTAGAATTAACACAATCAATATTGATGCAAAATAATATTGGATTATTCTTATAAAATATTATTGTTATTATAAAATAGATGATATTATTATTACAAAATAGAAATTAAAAGCAAAATAGAGACACATACATGTAAAACATGTTATCTTTATTATATATTAACGAATAATATTCATGCGAGTTATCATTAAATATCATTGTATCAATTTACTTATCTGGTTCGTTCTCATGGTATCCTACTTATCTCATTTTTGATAAATCTTATTTTCTGCAGCAGACCGAAAAATAAATAATATCCATGCCGACGCATGCGGTTCCCGAGAGAATTATGTTAGATTAGCTTAACATCTATTTTGCTCTACCATACGTACAAAGGGGTTGCTCGAGGGGAGATAAGGAAGGAAGGAAGAATCGTATACCGGAACAAGAGAATCGCAGAGATTAGAATCAGATCGCAAGCAGATTCATAGGCATACCGATAACGTGACCACGGCGTGGTACGCCATGGGTAATGTTGCAGTCGTTTCGTTCTTACATGCGCTGGGCTAGATGCACAATGCGTTTTAATTCGGTCGGACCATTGTTGACACGCCGTTTCTGGGTTTAGCCTCCTTCGGGGCTGGCCGTCGTCGGCCCTTACTACGTCCCCGGACACGAGGCTCAGTGCTATATGTCGGAGGCCCTCCAAGGTCGAGGGAGAGGAGAGTCGGTAAGTGATGATTAAGTGATGGCCGGTGGTCGGTGGTAGTGGTGAGTGGCATAGTGAAACAGTGTTTAAGTAGCACACTTTCGTCGCGTTCTTCTGATTCCGGGACCGACTTTCGGCAGCAGCGCACGCTGAGAGCTCTCGTTTTGTATATTGTATATTTACAATTGTATGCGTATGCCTCGTGTCGTATCTAGTTTACCGTGATCCTTCTCTCCGAACACGTACGTGTCTCTTTCGGAAAAAGTCATCTCGTCGATCTCGTGAAGAAATTTTACTCTCTCGTAGATATATTAGTGCTCGTGTACGTGGACTAGATACCTTCACTTGGCATTTTCTATCACCGCCAATCGGAAAAAAATCCTCGCTCGATTCGTACTTGATGGACGATTGCGAATCATTCATTTTGATGCTTTCGATTAAATGCGCGAGGAATATAATCGGCGAGGAATTTTTCGCTCGGCGACGACAGTGTAGCAAAGGGGGATGTACTCAGTCGTGTGTACTCAGTTTAGTATTCGTGCAAGCGCACGGTCATTAGGTCGTATTCATTGTCGAATGACCGCGCGATCATCGAGAAATCTCACGCGAAAATTGAGCTAGGACCGACGTGACGACTCACAGTCAGCGGTAACTTGGTAAAAAAAAAGTGGAGACCCTTCTCGGAGAATGTTCGTAAATACGTTCGCATACGGTCTTTGCGTAGGATGTGACAAAGCGTGTCCTGTAAACGTATTGGTCGTTGGATCGCTTCTTTCTTTGTTTTTATAGTTGAAGCTGCCTCAGGAAAGTAATTCGAACTTTGTCGCTCTTTTACCGTGAAAATCGCAGTCGTTTCGTGTCGACGAGCGATGAATAAAATGATGCGCGATCGAAATCGTTCGCTACGATCCGTGATTACTGCAAACTGCACGTTTATTTTCATCCCCCGAAATGAATTTAGCGAAGCCGTAAGATGAGCTGAACGACCGTTCGCGCATAAAAGATTTTATTTTATCGCGCACACAGAATACACTGTTAAATACGTTTTTGTATGTTTTTTACGCAATCAAAAGATTGTGAGAAACTGCGGTTGTTTGCAAAAATACTCACGAACCAGCACCATTCTCGCCATTGCAGTAATACAAAATCGATGCGGAGAAGGGTAATAATATCGCGCTTAATGGCTAAGTTAAGAGCGAAACGACGTTCGTGATCCGACACTTCAATCCAGCGAAACTAATCAAGAAACTCTCCAGAGTTCTACAAATTTGGCGCATCCCCGCTTCTCCTTTTATAGATCCCATCAACCGCGATACGTTTCAGGCAGAATTCGAGCGCAAAAACGTCCATCGAATCTACGATTATAAATAGAAATGCAGAGTTTTTGGGACAATCGCGGGTTAAACCAGAATAGGAGATCACGATTATTTTGACACTTTTCAATCTGTCAATAATATAAATTATATTAAAATATAATTTTTCAAAGTGAAATTTTTTACATATTATTATAATGCCAAATGATTGTAAACAAAGTCTATAAAAGAATATAAAAGTTAATTACCAAATTAATACAACTTGCTAATTACAAGTCATATTTGTTGCTTCAATGATTGACTTTACCGATATTGATCAATTACCGTTTTTAATGTTTATCTTTCCTTGGAAAAACTTCAATTAAAAAGCGACAAAGTAAAACTCAAGTTAAAGTTAATGAAAGTTCGTAAATCTTTCTAATCGTCTCGGAAGTTTAGCGACTTATGCGAACATTCTTCCGTAATACGTATTGCGAGAATGTATCGTAACAACTCTTAGAATGATCGTAATAACTTTCGTTCGAGCAGTCTAACCAATTAAGGACGGAAGGGTGCCTGCGAGAGTCCGAGCTTTCTACTCGACGAAACTAATCGACCAACTTGGTCGACTCTCTGCGATATCTCGTGCGCCGGACTTCCGGTGACCCCTCGACCCTATTCCACGACCGACTGAGTTTTAATATAGATCTTTTAGTATGGACGAAGTTAAACCCAAACTTTTTCCATCATCCTATATAAATCGGCAGCGTTTCTGTTTCTGGTACGATCAAAGATGATCAAATGAAACTGGCAATCATTTTTATTAATTGCTGTTGATGCGTTCAATCTAGTTTTGCAGATTTTGCATTCATATTTCTGCAAATATTCTATAAACCCGATCGTTTCTCGGTACAATTGTTTACACGCATTTTTAATTATTATTATACCGTTGATTTGCAATAACCATGCTGTGTTGATTTATTCGGTCAGTTTACGCAGTACATGTATTACTATGTGTACGAATTATTGACGCCAATATCGGAATAACGATAATTATTTCACGATGTTAGCGTACGTAGATAAATAACGAAACGACGTTAAAAAGATGCTCGAAATATTCGTTTGCTTTTGTACATCAACACACCGTGCAATTTGCAGTAATGACGACAATCACAAAATACGAACTCGTGACAGTGAAACGTTAGCGCTATCACACGTATCGACACACGCACGCACACATACACGCATACGCACGCACCCATATACTGGTGATAATCTTTTCTCATGTGTTTCCATTGAGATGGCTTAGTTCCCACGGCGCGTTACAACTCCTAGTTAATCTATGATTTCCATGTTCGTAACAATACGACTCGATTAATCGAGACGTGTCTCGTCGATGATCTAGTTTGTGTATATTAGTGCGCGTATCGACAATAGCCGTTATTATACGGCGCGTCAAAGCTCCTTCTCAAAATATTTGCTGACCGCACACTGTGCTTAATTGCAAAATCGGACTTTTATTCATCAAAATTATAAACAACTGTAGAATAAGAAAGACCAAAATTCTATACACGCGTCATTTTATATTTTTTTGCTTACATTAATACTTGAAATGCCATGTACGTGGTTTTTCGTTGATCGACTTTTGCTTTACAAGAGAAAAACGTAAACCGGGCAACAAGATAAATGCCCGATTTTGCAAGTCCATGTTGTTACACACGTACAATCACCGTGTATGGAATAAAAAAAAAGAGAAATCCAACCAGTGTGTGAGCGAGAGCGGGTGAGTGAGCGAGTGAGTGAGTGAACGAGGTGAATGGGAGTGAATCTCACTGTGTGGCTGACTGATCGTGTGAGTGAGCGTGTGAAGTGGCGAGTGACGGACAGACAGACAGACAGATAGACAGATAGAGAGGGAAGATAGAGAAGAAAGAAGGAAGTAAAACCTGATGTCGGGAAAAGGGCGAGAGAGGAGGCAGAGATCGTTGGTAGTTGAAGGTGAGAGGAAGGAAAGGGAGGAAAAGGAAAAGTGGAAAGTAACAGGTTATGGAAATTGACAGTATTCTCTGTGTGAGCGTGTGATAGAGAAGGATATAAAGTTTCTTTTTTTTTTCTTTTTCTATGCTTCACGCAAATATGCACGGTAGAAACATCTGTGTTTATCTGAAAAAAAGATTCAAGGCGATGTACATACAGTTGAATCGCGTTGAATCAGGGACAATCGACTTTCGATAAGAAAGATACTTTCTGCGTATCTTTTTCGATATTATTCGAATTTTATGCACAAGTTTATATGTCTGAAAAAAAATTGAACTTATATTTTACAATCTATTTCATTGAGAACTGGATACTAAAGTACAATATTGTAGCATTTTTTAAAGATATTGTTCGTAATTGACCTTAAGAAATTTTTTAGATTTCACTCTCATCTGCATTAAATAAGTAGATTTGTCATTTTTTAAACTATTTTAAAGTTAACACAATAGATTTATTACTGAGATATATCTCACCATTGTATCTAGCTCGTACATTGCGACTATTGATTCGCTCTATATTGATTTGTCAGGAAAAAATCTTGATATTTTTTTATAATTACAATCAAACAAATACACGTGTATGATTGAGGTGCTAAAAAGATTCGAGTCGATTGTCATTCTGAGAAAATAATATCGGGAAATGCATGAAAAAGTCTCTCCGACTTTCATTATAATGTGCACAAGTATGTATGTACGTGTTAGTATGTCTCGAGTAGAAGAAACATAGGCGAGGATGTCGAGATCTCTGTGAAATCGTATTTTGTTCACTTGTATATGCACCTATATAATACTATATATATAAGATATATATGTACATTCGCGCATATGTGTTGCGTACTTACAGCTCTCGATCTCGATATGGCACAATTGCCGGTCCATCGGGAAATATTGCAAGTTCATAGGACACGACGCTGTAATCGTTAAGCTGAAACACATTGAATTCAAAATCCGTTTAACGATCGCTTCTCGAAACAAAACGTTTTACGATTTTACGAGTACGGAAATTTATAGCCAATCCATTTGCGCTTGAGTAAGACCGACGTGTGTATATTTGTACGTGCGTCAGGTGTGCATGTATAAATTAATATGCAGCCGACCTCGTTACCTTCGAGTCATGCTAAGATTGACGTGTAAGAACCAATCCGTATTAATTGACATGCCATATGACGTTAATACATCTCTATTCTCGTCTTTGATGAGACGTACGAAACGTTACGTCGACGTATCGTATTCGCATGATTCGTACGTGCGGATGACAGTGATGGATGATTCCCGTTTTTTAAAACGGGGAAGAATTTATTCGCGCAAACGAGCGCGCGCTGCTTCATCGATATTCTTCCTCTATTCCCGACAGCGAGCGGCTCGATTCGGTAGTTCCGATTCGGAAGTCGAGGATGTAATATAATGGAACGATATTGCGAGGGAGCGCGAGTTAGGTATGCATGGATCGTCTGAATATAGCCGGCGCGTTAATACCGGAGCACTCCCGGCTGTTCGAGAGGGGGTCAGATAGGGAGAAATGATACGAGCTGTGTCAAGCAAGAAGGGGCGGTGGCTGCTACAGGGAACAAATTTGTCGCGCTGGGCACAATTGGTCCCAGAAGTATCACGAATGTTTTATGGTGAAAGAGGACAATGGGCTCGATTTACAGCCCAGTGACGGAAAATACCGTGAATGTATTCCCCGGACGGTGAAAGTAACAGTTCTGAATTATATCTGCTTAACTGGCTCAAGCAGCTCAGAAGGAGAGAAGATACAAAAGGATATATATATATATGTCTTTTCAATTAGAATTTAAATTAAATTTTATTAAGAATGCTATTAAATGGCTTTCAAATGCAGATTTATTATGCAAAAGATCTAGCGCTTTAAAAACACTATTTAAAATATTATTTGTGTAAATCGGAAATGTATATATATATATATATATATATATATATATATATACATATAAAATTGGAAGCTATTTATAGATAAATGTAAATGTTTTATACTCACCGTATGCTACGCGTTATGCTTCCCGAGTGGTGAATACGAATGAACTCGTTGCTGGTGGTAGCGATGTGAAAGTATGACTGCTTCTCGTTGACAAAGAAGGTGTCGGGTACCCAAATGTTCTTGATGAATTCCGAGCCGACGCTGAGCGTCTCGACGCCCGTTCTTTGCTTGAACGCGAGTCGTGGATCCGTCCAGAATTGTCGGAAGTAAAAATCCAACGTGAAGTCCTGGTACGACACAGGTGACTTATTAGACTGGAAGTCGGTTGTGTTCACAAAGAACACTAGAGAAATACGAGGATTTACGTAAGCCTTTCTCTGCCTTTCATATACTTTGTGTACCCTGCTCTTTTCGAATTTTATATCTCTAATGAAAATCTCGTCATCTTTGATGAAAATTGATAAAAATGAGATAGTACTTGCCGAGTTATCGTTATTTTCATTGTGAAATATATTTTTTAAATATATTATCTCGAAAATAAAAGTGACATAAAGAGAGAAATCATTAAATTAAAATGAAATTTGACAATTCAAGAATAAATGCATAAAGCTAAATGCATAAAGTATTTTAAAATAAAGCTAAATGCATAAAGTATTTTAAAATAAATATTATGCAAAAATAGCGATAACTCGTTACGCGTGTCTTTTTTTCTTCGTCGGTAAAATTTTATTCCAAACGAACTGCATGTACACATGTTGGAAACAAAAATATTTTTTGAATAGCGTATTTAAAGGCTAATTCGAAATGCTACGTTACATCCTCGTTCCTCCCATGTGTCGGCCGCGGAAAATCTCAAGAGATCGGGAAAGCATTCGCGTTCTTACGCGAGAAAACTCAAGGTTCTCGATCGCATAGAATTGAGATAAATAACGAGACTGTGTGGTATAACGGTGTAGATTGCGGATTTGCAGAGTCACGGCGATGCGGTTATCATTTTGGACGTAACGTGTCGATCGTAGGAGGAAGTTATCGGGCGGAAAAGGAAGCACGCTCGGGATCGCGAACGTCGACAGGCACCTTCGAAAGCTTATCGAGGCGGCTCGTCGCGATTATCGTAACACGTAAAATCAGCCACTTAACGCTTACGTGACCCTCTGCTATGCAGACCTCCTCCGGCGTTCTACAACACTTGACCTCACGCTGTGAAACGAGGCGAGGGTTAATTTGGCTCGGCGCGGCTATAAAGTCCAAAGTTGCGACGGCAACTTGGAGAGCTTTGTAAAGCGTTCCATCATTGGATCTCACACTCGCAAGAGCGTTTATCGTGGCACGATAGAGCGAATCTGAGTGACGTGTAGAGGAGCTCGAGCGAGACCGATTTCTCGAGTGAACGTGACTGACGACCATCAGATGGTTCCGTTATTGAATTTTCGCAACAAATTAAAAGTTCTATAAATATCTCTTTATTAAATTTAGTTTTCTTAAATTAGACAAATTCAAGTTGAATTTTATAATAATTTACATATTATTTTGCTGATAATAAAATTGTACACATGTATTTATAGATAGTGTTTATGAAATATTGTTAGAGATGCCCTATAAAATGTTGATGATACTGAAGCAGATAAAATCCAAACTTTATGATCAATGAAAATAATATCAAAATGTAAAAAGTGAAAATAATGTAAAGAGATGCTTCTATATAAAAAAATAACTTTTGTAAAGCTGAAGACCTTAAAATAACTCTATAACACTACTCTATCGTGCAGATAATATTTGGCATTGTTAGTTCGTTCACGAGCTTTCTAAATCACTCCACTGTCAATTTTATCAAAATGTTTATTTGTGTGCCTAAGAAAGTTTGAATATTAAGCCGAGAAAAGAGAGAGAGAGAGAGAGAAAGAGAAAGATAGCTTTTGAGCACGTTTGAGTGAAATAGACGAGTTGATTTATTATCTGAGGTAAAAGTTCCTTAATCGTCTCGTTATTACAGCAAGAAACCCTGAAGGAAATATGTCCAAAACTTGCTTGATATCTGCAAGATTTCGTTGTCTTACCATATCGGATTAAACTGTAACAGAATTTAATTATCATTAAATTATAATTAAAGACGAGATAATTGATGTAAAAGAAATTCTTTCAAGCTTAATATAGATATAAAGAAAGACACACATCATTTATATAAAATTTATCGTTTGCGAGATTTATATTACTTGCTAAATAACATATCTAGATAAATATGTAACGTTATATTTTGTAACAATTAAAATATGTTTGATTTCTTAATGATTTTGTGATATTTGCTAAATGTCATTTTGTATGATGATTTTCTCCGCGATAATTATTAGAAAAAACACACACTCTCTCTTTCCTTCTCTCTTTCTGTTATATTCACTACACTATCATAATTTTTTCAATTAATTTTATATTGCAGAGGCACGCATTAAAAATCTAGATATGAACATTGTTATAGCGCACAGGCAAGTTAATAGTTTATTATACGATGCTAAGCTCGATTATGACTGGGAATCTTACGCGAGAACATACGCGTGACTTACACGCCTCGTGAGCATCGAGATTCCTGCCGACGTTAGGGTCGATCATAGGACAAGAATCTCACGACGCGAAATATAATTCATGTATACACGCAACGAGATAAGATGTAGGGACTGTGTATGTATACTACATGTATGGTGACTACATATATATATTATACATATATCTAAAACGGATATTTGCGACGAAACCATTACGTGCAAACGTGCTACGAGAGTGCTACAAAATTCATGCACGACGCGTTATGTGAGGATGGTGTTGTATAGCACCTCTAAAAATTTTTTGATCATTATCTCCACATGTTTGCTTTCATATAAAATGCAGCAAAAATTAATGCATTACGTCAAAAAGTTTCCTTTTTTATTGCAGTTAATTCCAGTTTTTTTTAACGATATATTTGAACGAGGACAATAATAGAACAATAAAAGAAATTGTAACTATTATCTTTGAAATTAGTCTTTTACATTATAAAATTGTTATGCATATACTAAGATTGTTTTGAAAGATAAACTTAATTAATCGTTTAAACTTAATAAATCGTTTTTATGCTTAATTTACAGTTATAATTAAATTTTTGGATTTATTATTGTTTATTTCTACTCTACTTGCTTTTGTATTTTTCATACGTTTTTTTTTCGTTCAATTTTTCATTTTTTAGCTCAATTATCTCGTCAGTAGCAGTGTCGGCAACCACGTAAGTTTGAGTGAGTTTTTTCAAAATTTTTGCAACTATCAACGAGCACGAAATTCTGAGAAAATTTAAAGGAGAGAGAGAATAAAGTTCGGAATTTTGCAACTCCAATAAAATGTCATGGCCATCCGTGACAAGAGGGAGCAAAGTTTGCCACCCTCTTTGACGATGTGCGCACGCACACACAAAGACTTTTCAAGTAAAGGCTTTTCTTGCTATTCACATCGCGTTGCTATGAAAAATTGCACGTGGCAATCATTTGCCTGCCGCTCATTCCATTTGTACAGTTTTCGATTCATTTTAGAAATTTTACCATTGTTTTCGCTTGATTAATTAAAGCAAGTGCAGAATCGAAAGATTACAATTCATTTCAATAGTCATTTCAATAGTATGAAAATCGATGAAGATCTGCGTCTAATTATTTCGTAAGCTTAATAATATAATATTAGATAATATTTGAAGATTTAAAATGTCGCGAATGAATATACGATAAGTAATTAATCTCACGGTTTAAATACGCGAATATGCCGACAGATATGAAAGATTTTAGTATCCCATGGATATACCGTATGGACCGGAAGTTCTCATCGCTCGCGTTTCTGGCGGTTCTCCAGGCGCACTGCGGTTACGTCGTGACGTGTAATTGCTGCGCTAACAAATTCTCGTGTGTTATTAACTGATCACTGTCAACTACTCCCACGCGAATATTCGAGAGACAATTTCTTCTCTGATTCCTAACTTTCCTTTGTTTTAATTTATTATAGTTGTTGCTTCTTTTACTTTTCGTGTGTAATTCTCAATTTGTAACTATGTCACGATATGTCTAAAATCCGTTTTTTACGTTAATTGGAAATAAATAAGAGTATTTATGAATAATGTTAATGACACTTTGACAACATAATTGAGAAAAGTTTAATTTTAAACTTGTTCGCGATTTTTGCGAATATTTATTACATTCAGAAATTTGACATGAATTTATTAACAAGGATATCGCATTAATCCTCCAGCATTCTAGGGTAATCGAGTTTTATATATTTTCATATTATTTTCATATTTTTATTTTCATATATATGGAAATATATTTTCATATGCTTTAATATTCTAAAATATGAAGGTATAATATATTAAGCTTTATGAACTAAATTATTTTATTGAATATGCAGTTGTTGAAAATAATTTTAAATAAGTTTGTTAATTATATACAAGGAAAAAATTAGATACAAGAGATTTTTTCCTATAATGCATCAGGATTAATTAATGTCACATGTATTTTAATAATAAATTAATTTATACTAACGCAAACAAAAGTAGGTTAAAATAAAAATTCAAAACATTTCGCACTAATTAATAAAAATATTATTATTTTAAAATTTGAGTACGCAATTATAAAAGAATCTAAGATTTTTTGTCTTCTCATTCTGTCTTCTCATTCTGTTACATTAAATATTCAAGAAAATATTTAATGTTGCATGTGTCATAGTTTCGCCTGAAGCTGTGAAACTTCTGTTCAAGACAGTTTTCGATAACTCTGTATGAATAACTGAGACTAGTTTACAAAGTTAGAATGCTTTACCCTGTATGCTTTCTATATTTAAACGCTTGTTTTATCATTCTGTAAAGAATTAAATCATATTTACAATTGTATTATATGTCAGAAAATGCACTAAAATTACGTATTTTTTACTCTTTTTATAAAAGTTGCTAGATTTAGTAATTTGAAAAACATATAATCGGAATATTCCATAGGAAAATAACGAGCCATTTGGATACAAACGTCATCTATTTTTGCCGTTTAACTGTACTTAAATCTTTCCCGTTTATTTCAACGATGTATTTGAGTGTAAAATAACAATTCGAACGATCACACCGGTGTGAAACAATACGAGAAGAATGCGAATAAATGCGCGCAAGCATCTTTATTATGCGCAAATCGAAGCGTAAACAATAAAAAGCAAGAGGAAAGCTTTGTGGAAGCATTGTGGAAGCATTTCAGGCAAAAGCTCGCAGGCCAATCAATCTAAAAAAAAGAAGAAAATAGAGGAAACGGCAGTACGGTGCTATATGGCAAGTGATGGAAGCGAGAAGGGGCTCATTCGAGGAGGACCGCTCCATTTCGTTTGGAGTCCATCGCGCCTCGACGAGCGCGATTACCGTCGTGTGTACGCGCACAAGCACACACATACACATATGATACATACGTGTGTGTGTGTGTGTGAATTGTGTTACGCGTCACGCATACAATACATACGCACACCGAGAAAGATACACAGTATATAAACGCAAGCTCTTATAAACATATATATATATATATACACGCGCACACAACACACATTATACACGCACACACGTATGCACGTACACACATATCGCGGACACGCGTGCGCGTACACGTATAATACACGCGCTCGCGCGCTCCTAGAATTATATATATATACAGCGTGAGAGATGTGATTCATAGCAACCAGAAGCGCACTGCACACACTGACAATGACACAGCTCATATAGGTGTCAGTATATATTTACGATATATATAGCATAAATATATATATATATATACGAGATATATATGCAAATGCAATTATATGTATATCGGTATAGTCTCGATGTAGTCGCAACGTCGTACGAGCTATACTCTTTGTTCGGTATGCAATCATTGGCTGGCCGAGGGAGAAGGAAAACAGGGGTGGAGCGAGGTTCTTCGAGGGCCGCGGGATATTTTCTGTCGATACTTCTTCTGCTCTCTCTCTGTCTGTCTTTCTCCTTTCGCCTCTTCTTCTTTTTTGCCGTCCGACTGGGAAGACCACGGATCAACGAGAGCATAAAGGCGCTTTCGCTGTATTATTCTCTCCGTCCAAGTTTCGCTCGTCGATTTCCTCGAAAGTGGACGAGAAGAGAAAGGAAAGACAAATTGTTAGGAAAATCGTCTCGTTGCTCGCGGATATGCCGGCCGGAGAGTCCGAAGAGTGGCCCTCGAGGGATAGAAATTGGAAATCGTCTCTTTTCAAAGGAAATAGGTTCACGGAGATCGGTGAAAGTGAGACGAGAGGAGGAAATGTAGAATTGGGGACTCGCCAGCGGATGTAAAAATTCGCGCGTCACGTCCCAGGTGACAGTGTCGACTTGATTTGGTTCCCGCACAGGGCTCAACACCTGGGGTCCAGTCTCGTACATTCAGCTCCAAACTTGTACTCTGGATCTCAGGGGGTAGAGGGAGGGCGGCAACCGGGAGCGCCCTTTATATCCCTCGCACGATTACGCGTCAAATATGCAAGGGAGAGCCGATCTCACAGGGTAGCTCGCAATCGGTGTTCCAGCCTGTGGCAAGTCAACGTTATAGCCGCTCTCAAATTCATTGCGCGCGAGGCTTTGAAAGTTTTATCGTACCGGAGGGAAGATCACAGAATCGACGAGTCGCGTTAAAGCTTTTGACCTGACAGATTGGATATATTCTTTCTTTCTCTCTACAATGGATCGTATATACTATCGGTTACGTCAGAAAGAGAGTTGGCTAGAGATTCCTATAGGTGGTAATTTCTGGTATAATTATTACCGGAGAAACGCGGAGCCGAAGAGATCTACAATTTTCGAAGCGCATACTTCGGGATACAATCGATAAAGGGTGGATCCAGTTTCGTGCCAGTTTGAAACTGATTGTCGACACCGGAACGAATATACCTTCGATTACTACAGGATTACATGATACGTTGTACGGTGCCGTCATATACCTTAGATATTGAGAAACAAATACGAATATATATATACGTGTATCATAACGTAGGATACGTATACGTACCCTTTTACGTATTGTATGTGTGTATATAATTATAAATATATATATATAAATATATATACATACATATATATTTATATGCAAGTATGTATGTATGTATGTATATGTGTGCACACAAATGTAAAGGACCCGTAAAAGTGTATGATCATCCGTATACGTATCTCAACGTATGTGCGGCCTACGGTGCTCGATCCGAGATTTAAAAATTGCAATATCGATTAATGACGTTAAATACAAACATCGTACTGTTATTCTGTGATATTTCAGTTTCATGTACTGTATTTTCTTCTCGTATGCTTGTAGAATTAGACTGACTTTCAACAATATGCGCGTTACTTTCTGTTTCAGAGAAGCCCGATGGGATTTCCGTCTCGTGGATTTTCCGGAAAGATGGTAAGTCGAGCACGGATTTTTGACTTATTTACGACCACTTTGAACGTCGGGAAACGGTTCAGAGCCGCGCGATATTGCGAGGGGGATTTAATGGTCCCCTGGGGAGATTAAAGGGCCATCTCGCTGTTGACGGTGGCGTTCGCCGAGTCTTCCTCGGAATTTTTCCACTTAGATTTTCGCACGGATTTCGCGGAACCGTCAATCCTTTATCGTCGGTTCGAGCACCGCGGGTAGGGCCATGCAACAAGAACATCGCAAATCGAATCAAACGACTCAACCATAAACCATAAACGAAGTGGACAAGAATATATCTTGCGAAGACTGTGGAACGTAGCAAGGTTCCCTTGTAACAGTTCAGCCAACCAAACAGCTGTGACGAGCTATAAAAACGTAGGTTAGTAGGCCATCAGGGTGTATACTGTTGTCGTTGTGTGTCGCAGCATGTATATGTACGTATATATGGGATATGTATATATGGGATACATGTATATATATGTAGCGTCTATCCTATGTGACTATGTGTCGATACGCCTCTTGCTGCCGACATAAACATTGATATTTGCGTTGCATCTATTTCCCCTGGTGCACTTTTCCGCGATCAGATATCGAGAATGACTCGAGATTTAAGCAGATATGAACATGTATGTACGCGTGGGGATATCAGTACATATACGTTTACCTCGTTAAATTATAAAAGATATTTCGCGAATGAATGCGAATGATAAAGTCATAAATTTTTCCCGATTAACGCGTCTTGCTGCGATAACTTTTCGATTCGAAATATCACGAACGCGTGATATTTTTTATTATTACGGAATTGTTATTCGTATAGCAATCTGACAACGAAACTGACAACGGTCCGTTTTTGATTGGCACGAATATTTTTACGAATATCCGCGAGAGAACGCGCGCGCAAAAATAAACCAAGTAAAACGGATGATGTTGCGAATGCAATCGGAAGCAAGTGGCGCGATTGGTAAGCTGATTCGATCAATGATGTGGCATCGGTTCTATGATGGGCACGCTCGACACGTGATGATCGATCCAATTAAATACCGGGGTTACTCTCTTTAAACCTGTATCGAGACACAATTTTGACATTACGGTCGATCGTGCCATCGCGATGCGAAAGGGTTGTGTCGCGCGGAAAACGGATGTTCTCGTTATCGCGTTCCAATACGAGGGATACGTGGATGGGATAGGAGGGATACGTTCGCGAAAGACTAGGCGAAACAAATGAACGAACGAATAATTGTCGATGTCGAGAGTTTTGTATGAGTTTGAATGCAAACTGTACCATCAACACCTCGGACACGGAGCTGATGCTGAGGACATACATGGTGACGCCGACTTCCACGGGAGGACCTGCAATCAACAAAACCATCCGGCCTTGGTCGCTGTGATTACCCGCCAATCTCTAATTAACCGTGTGCGACCTATCGTGTTTGTGTACGAGATACATGGATTATATATCTAGAAAATAAGTAGATTTTAATTAACAGTAATTAAATGCATCTCGAATCTCCCTTTACTTCTGGCTCACGTGAGCGTTGAAACTTAAACATCTTCTAAAGTACTCTTCGAACGAATCATATTGCGTGACATGGCGTGTCGCGCGCGACAACATGTCTATCAGAAGAATCGAGATCCATCGCAGAAGCGAATATCGGCGATTTTTTTTCTCGAGTCTTCAGATAAATCGGGAAACGGATTGTCATTCTCCCAACAGAGAGGGGGGTTGCTTCCAGGAGCGTCGAGCGCGCTTACGATTCGTGAGCCAGAGGCAAGGTATAAACGGATAAAGTCGAGGAGAGCTCGCACCCTGCACGGAACCAAATCAACAGGACTCGTCGTCTCAGGCCACGTTGCCTTTCAAGCTGGAAGAATCATTCATATGCGTCTCGTTACATTAGGCACATTACTCTTACGTAATATTACATACACATCACAGCCACGTAGCAGTATGAAATTACCTTACTACCATTGTCTTTCGTTTTATATCACGTCGCTTTTTATTACGTGGTTTTGCTTTCTCTCTTTCTTTCACTCTCGTTCTCTTTCGTTCTTTGTGCGTCTTGATTTTGCCAATCGTCACGTCGTATTCCAATTTGGCTCGTTGTGGCTATACATGTACGTATCTTGGGGAAATCTAGCTCGCTTTACAGTCCTTTTTCTCGCCCTATATCAAACGCCATTCCATTGTCGAAAATAACGCGTCGTCTTGTCGAACGTTTGTCGAACGACATCGTTACTTTACACTGAATTGCTGTCATTGTCATTGCGATTGTCGATTCCGGGCGAAATTTAATTCAATTTTAGCTTCTGGGGCTGTGAGGGGGATGTCTTGAATACTGCTAAAGAGCTGCTAGAGAGGAAGGAACTCGGACGGACATCACGATCGAGACAATTCGATCGGTTTGTTTATTCTCGCGTGTTCATTCACGAACGTGTGATACGTGCGGTGTTCAGACAGAGAAATGGCGGAAGTGTCGGGCAAAGAGGGGCGGATTTTTTTTTTCGGGCGGCGGGACATAGAGTAATAATAATCGTAAATGGTTTGCAGGCGGCAGCCCATCTCAGCAACCGCGGCATAGCAGCTAGAGCGATCTAAGAAATGATCTAACGGGACGGTCGTGCGTGTTTAATATATTGAACAAAATACTATTTTTTCCCTGAGAGCAGAAAGCAATAAAGAGACGCTCCTCATTCACGTTCTCTCTAACACTACGTGACGCTCGGGGCAGCCCAGGCTCAAAAGTCAGGCAGGAGATCAGTGAACTAAGTTTTCTACGCTCGCAGAAAATGAATGTAGTTAGAAGCAACTGAGATTCGTGATGATTTTCATGGATCCTTTCATCAAGGTCGAAACTTTTAACGGCGTTCCCGCGTCAGTCAATTTTCTAGCAGCGAAATTACACCAAGTGTCTACACGAGAGATTATTTTTAATCAAAATATATTTGACTTTCGCGCGTGAAACTTCCTCGCAATAATTTAGAACGATTCGGATTATATTCTCTCTCTCTCTCTCTTTTTCAAGATTACTTCAATTCGCGCTGCTCCCGTTCCCAGTTGCTGAAACTACAGCCACGTTTTTCGAGCGTAGAACGAGGACAGCCAGTATATATTTATCTGAAATATGAAATAGTACTTTGTCCATTTTTAGTAGTGTCTTTTTTTTCTGTTGTTCGCTACTAAAATATATATGTATGTGTACATGTGTGTGTGTGTGTGTATGTATGGAATAGTGCGTATAAGGTCATACACGCGCACACATATTTCTGCGTCGGTGTAAACTAGTACCGCGATAAGCGGACAGACCACGAGGCACTACAATATATCAAGTGAGTTAGGAGATTTGGCTTGGTTGGCTTCATTTCGGTAGTTTCGAAGTACGAGCGGTAAACCGCATCGCGTAATCGCTATCGTGCGCAAAGTGCGTTTTATACATGAAATACCAACATAAGTGGAATTTTTATGCGGTTATGTCTGCGAACAATAATATATGTACATATATTTGCAGGACGTGCAAGTTAAAATAATTTTGCTACTTTGATAGGGATGAAAAAAAAAATTTACATGGTTAAATATTCGCATGTAAGGCAAATTATGTATTACGCTCCAATTCGCGTAATAATAATATCTGGAATTCTTTTTGTTTCAAGTAATTATTCCTCGAGTTTCGCGCTATTAAAAAAACACATCAAATAAAAATGAAATGTAACCCGCGAAATATCATTAGATCGTATCATTTGATCACATTTTTTTCGAAAGTTGAGTTTATATTATAATTAATAAGCGAGTGTTTTGACAGAGTATTGCTTCTTCCGCAGCGAATCGAAGTAAATGGTATCACAAAGGATATCGAATTATAAAAATCGATCTGCTCCAAATGAAAACGCGAGGAACTTTTGTTTAAGCGTTTAAGAGATATATTCGCAGTTTCGAAATGGAATAGCAATAAATTAATTCTTCTCTATAGTTGCGTTCAATTGATTCCGGAATCAAACGCGCCAAGAAATTCGACTTTTCGGAGCTAAATCGTCTCGATTATCGCATTATGCGACTGCCGCGATTCCGAGCTCGTCGTCTAAATGAAAAGTACATTAAAGAAGCATATAACCCAGAGCAGATGCGGATCTGCTGGCGACAATCAAACTGATTTCATCGTCAGGACGCCGAAGGCGACGCGACGAAGGCGGTGCTCGAGGCGCGTCTCTCATCCTGACTTACGGCCTCTAGGACCAAAGTTTTTTCGTGGTACCAAACGTGGTACGTGAGACGAGATTACAGCCCGCGGGGCAGCAATTAATCGATCGTTATGTGTACGCGTTCGAAGCGAAATAATCGCGAGAGTCCGCGTCGTTGGATAACGAAGATAATTCACGCTTCACAAAGAACATATTAAACCACGAGACATTTATTGGAGGACCGATTCGATCGCTGAAGTATCGCCCCAATTAGTACATGATTAATGACATAAACGAATTGTTTCATTGAGATGACACGGACGTTGTGAGAAATCACCCACATGGATTGCAAATATCGATCATTAATCGCAATTGATATTGAAAGTCGATCATTAGAATCAATTTATCAACAATCTTGTTCTCTCGTTCCTTTGCGGATTTTTTAAATAGATTTGAATCGCATTGCGAATATATTAAATTGCCTGTTTGTCTAATGAGACAAATAATAGGATATTTATGTGTCTAAATAACTACAAACACAAATAAAATGAAGTACACAATTGAAATGAAAATTATATTGCGTGGTGTATCTTCCGAATCTGTGCATACAGTTATTTTAATATGCATTTGTTGGAAGAATGCACAGTCATGTGCGCGTGTATGTACAACAGTATAATCGAATATGCATTTGCACTGTAAGTCTCCCAAGTTTTTGTGCTTTTGTGTGTGTGTGTGTGCGTGTGTGTGTATGTGTTAGTAGATAAAAAGATGCTGATGACAATTCAGTAACGATCAGCGGCAACCGTTGATTTGAAAAATATACGGGCACTAGAAAGTATGGTTGCTTGAGCCAAAAGACCGATGGGGGAAGGGGAGAAGAGGACGGGGAGACCGTTTTTGTGTTTAACCGAGAACGACAGTTAATAAATAACTTTCAGCGGAAATTATTGAGTAAGACCTAGAGGTAGTACCATTTTCACTTCGGATAGGGAGCTGATACTCAAGACGTACATGGTGACGCCCACCTCGACGGGAGGACCTGAAATCGAAGGTTAGTAAGTCTGAGTCGCCGGTATTTCCGGCCGCGACCACACAAGCTACACGGTGAGAGTGACTGTATGGCATTCGTTCGTTAATCTCACGAATATCACACACGTGTACACATATTGCTTTCTTTCTTTCTTTCTTTCATTCGGTAGCGTTTTGTGAGTTTACTGTGAATGCAAAATGGCATGTTGGTGATGTCGCTACGTTGGATGGATCGCTGAAAGTGGTAATCGCTTTCGATTAGACGAAACGTCCGATAATAATTTATACGCTAATTTACGTGTGCTCGGTTGTCAATACGATTTTTCAAAGAGAAGGGCTTTGCTTACATCTGTTTTGATATCTGTAGAGAGGAGCTGTAATGTTGCTTCATATTGCATAATTTATGTTATATACATGTTTAATTTAAAAATCGAGATGAATAAATTAACATATTTTAAGTTAATGGGATTCAATTAAAGTCATGAATAATTGAAAATTATTTAGATCTTTAGTATCTTTTTTCTTTACTTCTTTCTTTTTTAAATTTATAATATGTGTTATATACATTTAATTTAAAATTCAAGATAAATATGTTAACATTTTTTAAGTTCATGAAATTAAATTAAAGTGCTGAATAATCGAAAATTATTTGTATCTTTCTTCTTTTTAAATATTAAATTTATAATATATATTAGTTATTCATCAAGAATATCTTTTTTCGTATCATTTTTTCGTAATCATTTTAATTTTTAATAGGTAACGTATAAAATTAAATTAAAACACAAATTGCAATTTTTTTGTATGTCTATTTAAATACGCGACTATGAATAAATTCAATATGATAGGAGGATATTCCTCTCACAATCTTTACGAAATCTAAATTCAAAGACTCGACGAAGATTCGTGAGGATTTCAGTAGTCTATTTCAGATGTGTGACACGAAATCGAGCACTCTTGCAATCGATAACTCTGCTGCCGGTCGAATTGATCGGCCGCAAAGACGAAGCGGAAAATGTAATCGCGGCCGATCAAGCGGTATCTCACCGAGAAAAGTTTATGGATGAAATTTCGGGCAGAGGATGAAAGGGGGCGGGAAGCCAGGTGCAGATGGAAAGAACCGTTTGTCGAGGGGAGCTCGCAAACGAAGGGTGCGAATTGGGAAGGGGTTAACGAATACAGGCGAGTATATATGTGTCCACGTTGGCATTTTCGCGATAAAGTTGACTCGTAAACAACGGTTCTGCCAACGCCATCGTGCGCCACTCGACCGATATATCTTCATTTCCATTTCTAGGATGTTTTTAAAGCCCTATAGACGAGGAACATCCCATATGGGACACATATTTCACAATGACGTTCTCGCGTACACGCTGGAAAACGCACGACCGACGTGGTATCGAGTTAATTGAAACGCGCCCGTATGCTTTGCCCATGCAAACCGATCACCCATGAGAGAGCTTTACTCCAAAAAAAAAAAAAAAAAATACAAGATATACGAGACATACATGCGATGCAACTGAGAAAGAACAAGAATTAATAATCGACTATGGAGTTGAAAAGTCGCAGACATCATATGTCATCCATATGTCATACTCGAAGATTATTTGTACTATAAATATTTTTATGTTTGCGGACAATATATTTTTTCAGGCATTATATCATCGAGCTAAATTCAATATTTTAGTTTACAAAGTCTAACGGCAGATATTTGTGGCGATATTTTACGAATATATAAAACAATTTTAGAGAGTAATTATATTAAATATTTTTAATATTTTTTTATTTGCGTTATAAAAATACGTAAGTATATAAAAAATATATGTTATGTAGTACACTTTATATGTTGCATCAACGCGTTATGAATTATAAATATTTATGTCGATTTAATGAGTCTGTTTGTCGCAATTCTATCTGAGTCGAGAGACTCTTTTAACACGAAAAGTTGCGTTGTTTATCATTATGCCAAGCCAGTTTATAGAGTGCAAACATTTCGAGTTTCCCGTCACGTATTTTGTCATTTTACATAGGCCTTGGACCGGGACGGTGGAGCTGTTTGAAAATCCGGTCGCGCTCCGAAGAATATCCAATGAAGCGTTACGAGACGAAAAGAGCAGCCGCGGCTGTTTATCCCGTCCATCCACGGTATTCTCGTGCCCGTTTCCGTAATGTTCACGTACCTACATAGCGCGATCTAAATTTTAAATGTTAAAAACCCGCATCCAGCGAATCCCGTGTATCGGGATGCGAGAGCGACGAGAGACGCGGATATCGGCGATTCGAATCGAGACGATACGTTTAGTGCGCCTTTTTGCAATCTATCGACAGTAACCTATATACGTGATCCCGCGGAAAATGAGTCGCTTGCTTTTCACGTTTGACAACTCGACCCCGAGTTTACTGCAAAGTAAGCCATTATTAATGCATCTTTCAGACGTGGTTTGTACAGTCAAGCTAGACTTTGTATATTTCATGTTCTCAATCAATCGCAATCGGCCAGACTTGTCATTACATTTGAAAGCTTATCGATACATTTTTGATTACTACAGTTATTGCCGAAATTTTCGATAACAGTAATAAATTGAATAATATTTCTTTAATACAGAACCGGTTTATGCAATATTTAACATGGAATGTATGCAATTAAATGATAATATGTTGTACGCGTTTATTTTATTTTACTGCGCGCTGAGAATTCGTGATTGCATTAATTTTAATTACACGGCATACGAATTGAAGCTCTTAATTATTCGCTTAACTGCTTTTTCGATTTTTATGTCTGACGTGTAGCAGCAATTATAATTACGAGCGGCAATACATGTCGAATAAATCAATGAATATCGGTAAATATTTTTAGCTTCGTCGAAAATGAAGAACTGAAAATAATTCTCGGTCAATTAAATCCGAAATCTACTTTCGGGGGGAAAAAATAGAGCGGAGCAATATGTAAAGCCGAGCGCGTCATTTTCGTTAGCAGTTCGCGACACGAAGAACCGAAAAAGTACGAGTGTGGTCCTGGAATAGAATCTGGGACAAGAGGAAGGGGGGGGGAGGGTGCGGAGGGATAACGCGGAGGTCGGAATCAAAGTCAAAATCGTAATTGAAGGCGAAAGATACGGAGTCTCTCTGTGTCTTGTCGGTGCGGAGATGCCGTTAACGGTAACCCGTGGCAACCCGTGGAGCGTCCCAGCATCGATCCGAGTTTTATCGAAGCGTTCCAGCCCCGCCCTGCCACCACGAGGCCATCCTCGAAAATGTGTCTTTGTCCGTGGCGGAATCGTCGATACATGAATCATAATCGTACCGCTTTTCGACGCCGATAATCGTTCCGCCAGCTGAGCCTATCCGAAACACGCGGTGCGACTTTTTGGCCGGGCCTAGCCGAAAGTGGGACAGACCGTCCATTGGCAGGCGCTAATTGCTTCTAACTGACTGTCGGCTCCGGCGAGCGTGCTCACTCGAAATTGGCCTAATGGCTCTTTAATATTCCCGTGTTTTATAAGCATCCCGTTTATTCGGCCGCGAAATCGCATCGAGCTCGCGGTCGATAATCGTCTGGCATTTATTCAAAGCGACCATCCGCGCGAAAGTTTATCCGTACCAATTGCGTGCAAACTGTATCTCTCGCGGTTGTCTGAAAGTAAAATGTCAAAGAAAACGTTTCCGTTTTTTTTTTTTTTTTTTTTATTTTTGCCCTCGGGGAATCATGTTTCTTTGAAAATGTGTCTTTGTGACGGTACACGCTTGCCGCATCGCTCTATTGATATTTCTTTTTCAATAGTCATGCGTAATCGAACCTGGGATAAACTGCAAATTATCTCCTTTGACCGATGCGAGAAAAAAAACACGATAAGAGAATCGCGTACACGTGCTGCCGCGCTGTTCCTGTCAGACTTGTTTTATGGAAGCGATGGTATATACTCGAGGTCCGTCGTTTTTGCAGAGTAAACGTGGGAAGCGGCGTCAAAAATATTTCCTGAAGCGTTTCGCTGAAGTTTTACTAGTGTGTCGCGCTATTGTTACACCGAATCGAAAGCTTGCGCTTTATATATCTTGATTTATCGCGTATCGACCTCGTGTGTCAAATTTCTTTCTTTTTTTTTAATGGATCATATCTGTATGCTTGTACATATTTATTCGCTGTCAGTGTATCTCCTTCGATTTATTTTATTCCAGCACTGCATCAAGATGGAATACGATTCCAGTTATTTTTTCTATCCGAGCACACGTAAAAAGCTCTTTCCTGCGCTTGCAGCGAACAAAGTGGGATTAAAAGAATCGTTTGCCAGTATTCTGTCCTTTCGCTAATTGATTGAGTTTGTCAATGTGTCAATATTTGGTTTCTTTCGTCATCTAACTTTTTTAATTTCGTTGGCTGCAAGATAATGTTTTAGATTCACGTAATAGTGCAACGAACATAAAAAAATGAGACGGAGAACGCTTTGCGCAAAACTCGTCACAGCATGTATTATTTCATGTCTGTGAATTAATTGAAGCTATAATTAACGTCAATCAGATAATCATATTAAACGTATGAAATTGACAAGGTTTGCGCATGATATAAAATCCACGCCAGGATAATTGAATGATTTTGGTTATCAAAAAATGGAAGAAATTAAATCCCTACTCACCTCCGTAGTTCGGCCTTACTCTTTTATCGTAACTGACGGAAAAGGAATCTAGTATCGCAGAAATATTCACGTCGCCCAGCATACTGCCGCCGCCAGTTCTGCAAATAGAGAATTAAAAATCTTACATTTTTTTATAAAGAAAATATTGTTCTAATATTGCAATAATTGTCTACAGTATAAATTTTATATTTATTTCTATCTAATCCATGTTTCTTCAATTAAATTAATTAAAGTATGATTGAAAAGAATTTTGTTGCAAAAATATTTTACATTCAATTAAAATGTTTTGATATTAAAAAATTTCTGGATAAATCAATACATATTATAATGTTGCACATACATATGTAACAGCTTTATTTTTAAAAAACTTTTTTATCTTGAAAATTTCCTCACAAATAATACATAAGGCACCACTTCCTGTGACAATTAGAATATAAATTAATGATTATATTTTATGAAATCGATAGCACTAAAATAACTTGTTATCGAATTTTGAGGTGTGGTCATGAAGCTCTTAAAAACTGATATAAATACTAGTATATATATATTAGCATTTTTTCGAAAATAAGTTCGAGAGAAGATATTGTAACAGCTTGCATGATATACACGACTGCGAGAAGTAGATACGCCCAAAGATTCGAGACATAAAGTGCAGGGGGTCTGTTCTTGACTTAACGGGTCAGTAGATACAGATGGCCTCGGTCAGCCAAACAAACGGCCCTTGAATCCACGGGCTGATACGGTTCCGCATTACCTATGAGAGCCCGATCTAATGGTCACAACGGCGCAGCAGCCGATTCCTGTTACGCTAAGTAGAGCAACTCGGCCCGAGAACGTTTTCTGCTTGGCTCAGCGGGCTGACCAAGATCGCATGTAATCACTTTGGCGCAGCGTTGATTCCCGAATCACGCGAGCCCCATATGCTGACGACCTTGGTCGAATCACGCAATATCTTTGCGATATCTGAAGATCGAGTCGCATGAATCGTTGCGAATTTTCATCGGAAAGAGAAAGATAGAAGAAATCAAGTGTGTATTTGCGCAATCTTTTATTTTATCCGCATCGCAATGTGCTTTTACACAAAAGGTTATTTTTCATTTCTAAGTTTCACAATGTTCTTGATCATTGATGTAAACAAAATTTAATTTAAGTTTCACAAAACAATAACATCGATCAATCTGACTAAAAACTTATATATCAATGTTCTTTAATCATATAACTGAAATCATTTGAAATTGTGATTTTTATTATCTAGATATAAGACATTGATCAAATTGTAATAGACAAATGGCAAAAGAAAATTATATCCTATTATATTACTCTTGTATCAGCATAAATTTATTCATGACTCATGATTACTATTTGTTACTTTGACAAAAGTGATTGATTGTTACACAATATCGTCTGATAAAAATCCTCTAAATTAGAGTCAATAATAATGTCGTGCATATTTGATTCGTGCGTTACTCCCAATCATTGAACAAGGTAGACGTAATAAAAGCCTTGACCCTACAATTAGTGTACATATGAGTCAGCAGAATGTTCGAGACACAGTGTACCTATCGTACATCAGCTCTTGCGCGCATAATCTTACAATGAAAGCAAGCAAAGCCGGCGAGCTTGTAAAGTGTTGCACGAATTAGACTAATCAAGATCGTGCATGTTTGCCGCGCTCTATTCTACTGACCAAGATTCCAAGCGTGAGTTATGCGATCTACAATGTGTCCCCGCGATTAAATTCACGGGATTTCGTAATCAATTATAAATCAAGAAAATAACTGCTGTCTAAGTAACTCAGTCTACTTTGTAATTCAAGTAGCAAATTCTTTAATTGTGAAGACCAAAATAATCATTTCGTATTCGCTCACTTATACGAGACAGAATTATTGTAATTACGAGGATTATATGGTGGAGCTATAAAATAGATACTAAATAAATAGATATTAAATAAATCAGCAATTTACATTATGATTTTGATAAATAAAATGATTAAAAAAAAAAGAAGTTACGTTATATAAATATAAGAGAGAAAAAAGAGGAAGGAAACAAAATACTATAATTATGATCAATAAATCATATGAGTTGCTTTTTTATAGAAAATTGAATTATAATTCACTGTTAATTTTACGTGACAATTTATTTTATAACAACTTATATTTATAAAGTGCTTTAGAATAAAGCGTCAGCAAGTGACGGAAGAGTCGATTGATTGTTCACGATAAATATTTGAAGGAATTTATTTTATTGAGCAATTCGTTGCAATATAATGCATCATAGGTAAGTCTCGTGAAACGATATCGCACAATGAAGAAGATTTCGCTACCGAGCTGTGATAATAGGTCAGAGGTTAAACGTATTGATTAGAGGCAGATATCTACTCTGGGAACAAGGGTGCGAATAATACGATGTAGATGGTATCGTGCAGATACGCGCGCGAAAATATAGATAGACTATTTCTCCGAAACTCATCACGAAGAGTCGACTTCATTTCCGTAAGATTGTTGCTTAGAATGTTTCCTGAAGAAAAAACGCGAAGTATTCTCATAAAATAATTACAATTATATAAATATAAATTAGTAAATTTAATAAAAGCAGAGATATACCGTATGAATATATATATATTCTAAATATATCGCATCCATCGCGTGTATTCATGTAATTAATTTTGTTAAACGTCATATCAAGTATATAATTCAATTTAAATTAATATTTTATTTTTGGTCTCTTTATCTGTGATATTCTCCATCACTTTTATCCAGATAAAGGCTTTTTGTTGGCTACAAGCTTTTTTTAATCAACTTTGAATCGTACGATCTAGATGGTTTTGTTTGCTCATAAAAGGAAGAAAAAGGGTAGAGTCCTCCGTTAAAAAGAGAAATGACGTTTTCGATCGTTTGAAATATTTGAAAGACGTCCTTCGAGGTTTAATGTTTACGAGATTTCGTGGGTGTCTGTATTCCGGACGAAAGGACGCGCGTCTCTTTTACGGATTTTCAGGAAGGCCGTTGGAGAAATGTCACGCCATAGTTAAGCGTTTCATGCTTCATTGCCCCAAAAGCGTTGCTACTCGCCAGACAATATTTTCAGAAGCTCGCCAGTTCTTTAGATCTTACGAAAAGTAAGAATCTCTCTTTCCTGCTTCGTAGAAAAATCCATTTTTCTCGCTATTCTGTACGTTGTCTCAAATTATGATCCTCAGGCTTTATTGCTTTCATGTATAAAGCGATATAACGCGAAATTAATGATATAATAATTACGATCAGATAAATCTGTTTAACCGAAATTAGGTCGATTGATAATTCTGTATCAAGCTTTAATCAGAAATTTTGATTAACGGAAATTTATTATAATCGTATTCTCTCTCATAATTCCCTATAATCAGAAATGTGTTCTGTCATATTTAATAGATGCATCTTTATGACCACGCTGTCTATCAATCCGCCATTAATTAATAATGTCACATTAAATTCGATATCTATTAGCACTAAATAGGTTGGGCGCATGGAGGAATGATCGTGGCGTGATTCTACGGATGAGTTGATTTAATAGTATTACCGCAGTACAGTCACGTGGCGAGGTACCGAAGAAAAATGGAAGACATTACGGTGCCTGGGCCGAGTCGGTGTAATTGAAAGTCTCGTAAATAAGAAGGACCGTCCGAGCGGACGAAGACGCCTCGAATTTCAATCTCTCGGATTTCTAAGAGCTCTTGACCCCCGACTCCAACATTTCTTCCGCACACGGTCCTTCTCCTCTCCTCTGTTCCCTCCCTTTTTCTATCCCTTTACTTCATCCTGCTTAGCCTCTCCCTTCCTGGTCCTGTTTCTTTTAGTTTTTCCAACTCGTTGCAATTTTCCTGCCTTTAAGGAATGATGAAAAACCATCTCACAAATTTTCTCTAGAAACTTACGTTTATTTCTAGCTCGATAGCTTCGATGTGCACACGGGCAACAACTCGTCTCTTCTCTTTTCTTCTTGTCTTTTTTCAGCAGATTCAAAGAGCGACATGATGCAAGTGTACTCGAGCATTCCTTTGCTTATCATTACATGAATTTAGTTCTGCTCTGATTTCCGATTTTGTCATTATAATAATGATTATCGAATCGAAAATATGTATAATTAGTTGGCTATGTTGTATATATTATATTATATTATATATGCAGGAAAATTCGATTTACATATCACTATCTGATTATAATCGATTACAAATTATACCTTTTACACGTGCAATTTCAATGATAATATTCGCGAAACGTATAGGTAAAGTTATCGCAAACAAGTTTTATTTTTGTAATTTTTCAAAATTCGTAAATATGTATATTTCGCCATTAAGCTAAATATCAATAAGTGTATACGGGAAGCATTTCATTTTTCCAGATATATTTTAGAAAGGCAAACATTTTTGTGACGAGGGTACTTCCGCCGACCTCGTTTCCTGGCATTTAAATTAACAGCGTTTCGCACAATTTATTTTCAAGCTAATGTCAAACAATTGCCGGCAACTTCGCCGACATTGTCGACTATGTCGAGTGGTTGACGTCTTTGAAAGGTGGAAGTCTCGAGGCTTTTGTAAGAGTCTCTTCTTGTAATTAAGAAGTTATCGACTACGAGATGTTGCATCAGTTCCTCGTCCCCTCTCTCGATTTCGACCTATCGTCCTGATTTTCTTCGCATCTCTTTTTTTCTCGTCGCGTTATTTCAATCCCGAGGCCGATCCTTCCTTGCCAATAACATACAACGTTTGCGCGAGGATTGGTTATGAATTATTCATGATGAAGAGCAAACGGACGAAAAAGCGATTTTATACACTGTTCGTCCGGACGTTATATATAATCAACGAAAGCCGGTTGCACGAGCGGTTACGTTTTTCAGTGTGATTTACGTTAATTTCGGCGCCCATCTACCATTGCGGGAGATTCAGGAAGTCATAAGTAGCGAGCGCGTCCTTCCGGTCAGCGCCGCGTGTTTCCTTTTTATCGATATCACAGCTGGGAACTTCTCTGTTCTCATATTTCTCTATCTACATATAAATCTTTCTCGCCTTTATTCATTCCCTCGATAACAATTATTTATTGTATGCTTCTGAATCTGATAAAAC